GGGGGGGGATTGCATCTCATTATTTTATAGCTGCCGAACAGCAATGTGTTCCATGGAGATTAAAAAAATTAAATGCAGAGGCATCACTCCCTGTTTTCTGTCTCTCTCAATCTGTATATTTCTTCTTATCTCATTTGTTGCTGCATATGTCTCTATTTTTTTCTCTGCTTTTGATTTGCTTGAACTATAACTCTCTCACTTCCTTACCAGTCGTACAAACGCAGACAGACGAACACACACACTACCAAACCCTTAGTTGCTCAGAACGACTTTGTGTACAGCGTCCTAATTATCCCACAACACTAGTCTACATCAGCGTAGGTGAAGAATGGCAATGGACAGTTCTAAAACTCAAATAGACTTGTTGCCGCATATGCTTCTTTATTTATTTCGTTTAAATACCATATCCACATTTATGTCTTTATTTTACCGCTCTTTTCACATGTCAAATACTTCTTACTCAACCCTCTCCATCCTTTTTGTTTCTAACCTGCTCATCTTCTTTCCTCATTTTCTACCTTTCACTTTGTCGTTCCTTTTTCACTGTGTTGTACTTACATCTTTTTACTTCCTTTCTTCACTCTAGGTTCTCGTGGCTCCTACAGTAGTCAGCATAGTCAAGAGCCCCTTCGGCCTCTGGGGTCCCCAGAGCACCACATAGATCCGATCTATGAAGAACGTGTCTATCACAACAAGGGCCCCATGAGAAGCCTTAGCCAGAGCCAGGGCCCAGACTCAGGGCCCTACCGCAACAACACAGGTAAGGCAGTCATTGCATCAAATTGTATCATCAATGTAGTTTCATGTTTTGTTTTGTTTCTACTTCGTGTGGCTTAGACATTTTAGAGTTTAAGCCCTGAACTCTGAAACTGTGTTTAAGGTAAATAAACTCAGGTAGCAAAAAAGTCATCTCTGACAAGTGACTAAGAGTATGTTATGGAAAACAAGGGCAACCACTTTCTCTATAAAGTGGATGATACAACAGTAGTACACAAATTAGACTCACAGAGGCAAAAAACATTTAGTGAAGGAGTAGGTAGGTAAAAAAAACAAGTTTTGACCTTGATGGTGACTGTAACCAGCTGGTAAGAGGTGTAATTTAAAACTGTGTTAGATTTAAGCCATTTGTATTTTCAATATTCACATGTTCAGCAGAAAGGAAGTGCGCTATAGTCACACAGCCTTGGAGTAGCTGCTGAGTAGGAGAAAGAGAAAAAGTTACAGCCACACAGTGGTCTAGTGTTGAAGATCAACTGGTATAGGGTAAATCAAGATGCTGGCTTTTGGAAAAGCACAACGTTGCATTTCAGTGGCAAGCTGTTTATATGAAATGTTTTGGAGGGAGATTCAGAAAAGCAGCTAGCCAATCCAAAGAGGGTCTCGTTCTTATTGGTTAGGTATTGGGCTTGTTTGTGTGGCTCTGTGGCCTTAATTTTGTTTTCAGTAGGTAAGAAACAGGCTGAAGTTGAGGTGAGTTGAAGTGCTGATTTAACTTCTGTGAGATATATCTATAGGACAAAGCAAAAAAATAGTTCTTTATTGGCTAAACCTGATGTCATATTATAATCATAACTTGTCCCTGACCGAGAGTGGGCATTTCCACCTTCTCCCACTGAGACGTGCGGTCTCAAACTTGGAGATGCTAATTCTCAATTCCGCTCTTTAACACTAAACTAAGAACCACTCCAGTGCGACCTGGAAGCCATCACCTGATAATCTGAACAGAATTATATCATCCACTAAAAGCAGAGACAAGATCCTGAGACTACCAAAGTGTAGTCAAACAGATACCTCAATCTGAGTTATCCGTCTCGTTCCCAGACTCAGACAGTGTCAGTGGGATTGACGAGATCCTCTAAGTATTCCATCCACCACCTGATTATATACTCACTTAAAGTCAGCAGCACCCCACTCCCACTGTACCTAATGTGAGCAGAGCACTGCTTCCTCTTCTTGAAGCATCTGATGGTTTGCGAGAATTGTTTTGAGGCAGACCAAAAATCTTGTTACATGGCCTCACCAAACTCCTCCCACACCTGAATTTTTGCTGGAGCCAGAGCCACACCGCGCTTGTTACCTGCCCACAGTCCCACAGGCTAACCAAGCTCAATAGGACCCATTCTTCAGCTTGACTGCTTTCTTCGCCACCATCCACCATCTGGTTCAGACACTGTAAAACCATGAAACAGATCAACTACCCTGTGGCCACAGGTCCGTGCAATCACCTCAATGAAGGTGCAGAACATGATCCACGTGGTAGACTCCCGAGTCTCCCTCGGAATGCTGTCAAACTTCTGCCGGAGGTAGGAATTTAAGATCTGTTAGATGTTCCCACCACACCATCATAATACATTTGGCTGTGCCAGCCCTGCCCACTAACTTCCCCTTCCACCTGATCCAACTCAGCCAGTCGGTGATCAGTTCAGAGCTCAGCTCCTGCTGATATTCTCTGACTGTTAGAAATGTTCCATTTAAAATTACCTTCCATGCTATTTCCTTCATGATCACTCTCACTTTTCTTATGCTTTAGTAATGTAACCAAAAGTTGTGGAAAATCTTCACTAAAAACACTATTCTGATAGTTCTGACCTACTTAAACTCTTGAGTATACGACTATAAATTATACATAAATTATGGCTTTTCCCTCTTTCATTGTTTTTAAGTAGCATTAGGCTCCGGTGATGGATAAGCCAATATGATTGTCTTTTATGTGTTATTGTTCCAGTTGATTTAGGTTCAAATCAATTGAATGTATTAAGGCCCTTTCACAAAGAGAGTTACATTCACTGCTCTGCCTGCTAGGCTAAGTGAAGGTCCCAAATATGTGTTTTGCAATCTGTGTATGTCTTTTTTCTTTCTGCGCCCAGTGATGTGTATGTGTATAATATGTACCCACTTCATGTCATTCCTCATTTCTATTGGTCATGCAAAGACTGCACTCCAACACTGCACTGTGCTTTGCTTGACGCCATGGTAAATTGTTCACGGATGGCAGAAGCAGTCATTGTATGAGAGAGTCATTTAATGTGAAGTAACTGGCCTAATTTGACAATCTAAGGACTTGAAAGTAGAAATATATATTGTAGAGATAAATGCAGCCACAAAAGTAAAAAGCTCTCAGAAAAATACATACTACACATATAGATACCTAAAAATTCTCCTTAAATACTAGTACATCTCAGAATACATGTCCATATTTGAGCAAGGCCAAGATGGTTCACAACAAAGAACAGTCCTTGATTTTGTAGATGGCATTTTTAAGCCCGTTGGTGTGTTTCTGCTCAGGAATATCAACCCATATATGTCTTAAATATAAAGTGTAACTTCAACAGCTTTTCCATAGTTTAAAATATAAGAATTTGTCCTTGAATAGTTTATGATATCCACTATTTTTCTGCCACACACTAGGCAAATAATGCATCATGTCTAACATAAAAATGCAAAAATGTGCTGCAATTAACTTTTGTAATGAGACAATATGTGTGTTCTCTAGTATCTAAAGTTGTTTTTAATCAGTCACCAAGCAAAAATAATACTTGTTAACCAATGTCAGGAACAACTGAGATACCTTTGCACTGAATATATCAACCCTCGTCAGTGCCAGTTTTCTTTTCTACAAAGTGAATGGTATGTTGTGTAGTTGGTCCAGAGAATTTCTATCAAGTCTAGAGCCAAATGAAGATAATGCTTTATGAAAAATAAAGAGTAAGTGGCATAGAAAAAGGCATTGCCAAGCCTATTGTGTTTGTGAAGCACAATAGGCTGTGTGGATGTTTTTTTCCCATTTTTTTTTATTCGCAATGAACTGCAATTGGATACATTTACTATCGAACTCACACAGTCATTCTCACTTACTCTCCATTGTTGCCAGCAGTGTATTTTTAATAGGACCTCATTGAGCTTATCTCATTGTGGGTTTAGGTATACCATGTTAATCCCATTACCGTATCATATCCACACAAAAACACCCAAGTCTCTCAAGCCGCTTTCACAGCTCCGTCGACGTCTTTAACGAGTCGATCCTTAATAGCTATCATTAGCATTCAGGTCAGAATTATGACAGTAAATGTGCCACCCTAGACCAGAGTTTGAGTTCATCAGTTTCACTCACTTAAAAGGAAAGAACATCTTCCATAAGCACCAAGCATAGCTTTTGAAGCACATTTCAGAGTTGGGTCATTGGGTTTGCTCATATTCTTGTGGGATATTGCTTTGATTACAATCAGTGAAATTCAGAACGCTTCATACAGTGATATCATTGTCTTTGCAAGCAGAAATCATTTAAATAAGCATGCTTCAGAAGTGCACAGAGAGAATCCAGTGTTATCTATAATTTACTGCGCCTTGTATTTGTAGTTTCAATAGATGGGTATGAGAAACTCACAAAGGAAATTTGCACTGCAGCTACGAAAATCAATAGACTGTGGATTAGACCGTGTGCATTTAATTGTAACACTGGAAGTTTACAATGCACTTCTCCAATGATACAGTGTTTTAATAGATCGTCTGATGTTGTTGGAGCTAAATCCTTCATCAGAGCATATATTTTATCTCATGCACAAATATTTCCCTGCTGCTTTTGGCACTTGTAACTACACTGCAAGAACAACACATCGAAGATTAACAGCACCTTGAAGTCTCAGGGCTATTGAATTAAAGCTTGGCCTTTACACAGCGTATTTTGAAATTTGTGTGAATAGCATGTGCAGTGAAAAGGAGGTTGTCTAATAAGGATTCATAATGCATAGAGTGATGGCACATAATGAACTGATAAGGGCTGTGCTGACATAGTGAGCGGTAAGTCATTAATTATGTCATAGTGCCTTTTCTTGGCAATGGCAAGCTCACATTATTGGTTCATTAAGCTGGCATGGATCAATGTAATTAATGCTATAAGTCATCCCTTTGCTGAAAAGAAAAGAGAGACAGTTTTGTGTGGGTATTTGACTTCAAAAATTCCAAAGTTGTAGTCAGAGGTCTGCAGTGTGTGGTGCACAGTGTCAGTCTAATTTAGGGCCAATTTAAACAAGGCAGTCAAATGAAGCCCACAATATTCGCTGAGAGCAGGGGGCATAGCATTATTTAACTGGGCACTTAACTATGAAGAGGAGCGACGTGGTACAACAAAAGCCATCTAAGTGACTCTAATTTTGCATGCGCTGTTTTTATAGCTACTGTTTTTCTGGGCCGGTTTTATCTCAAAGAGACACATGAAAGGAAATGCGAATTAGGAACAAACAGGACATGAAGAAGAAGCGAGTAAAGCGGATGTACGGTGGCCTCTGATCTATAGTTCAAATGATTTTAGAAGGTAAAATGTTAGAGTTGTGACTAAGTTAGTTACATTGTAGCAAACATTTGCCAGAATGATGTTGATTTTCACAATACTCTGCTAGTTTGATGGCTTATTTTATGTCCAACACTGCAGTAAACCAACAGACCTGTAGTCTCAGGAAGCCATTGTCTCCCAGCACGGCGGACAGCTATTTGTCAGCACACTTTGACAGTTCACTCAGGTTGAGTTTAAAATGCTGGTAATTGGTAAACCTGTCTGCTTGGCTTCCACAGCTCTCAAGTCTTCTAGCTCAGTTCATTTCAGCACCACATTAATTGTTGCTGTGAGTGTTGCATTAACAGCACTGTCACTGTGGCTAATGCAACTGAAGGAAAAATAGAAAAGCTTTTACTAAACCTCCACTACATGTGTCACCCCCCGATCAAACATCTCTCACATCTACACAGTCTTCTTCAGTGATTTGC